GGAGTGTATGGGTTGGTCCATTAAGTGTTACCGATCGTGATAACTATGTTAGTGAACCTTGAAAAGGGGACTTTGACAATGAGTTCAACTGATTACTCATGAGGTTGATTATTGGAAAGGGTTCAAAAAGTGAAGGGTTTCAAACAACAAAGTAAAATAAGCATAACATGTATTTTGAGTTTAAAAGTCCAGATAAGCAACTGATAATCCCCAAAATCAATATATTGTGCTATTGAAAATATTATGATAAAATGTACGAAATTAGTGATTCCATTGAGTTTTTTCTTAGGATGAGAGATTAAGTCTACGCTGATTATTTCAGGCCAATCTCGGGACAAGTTTGGAATAAAGTTGGGGAGGTTTGATAAGTGTATACTAAATATGTTGAATTGATATATAATTGTCCAAGAATGTCACTACTTTGATGAGTTGTTGAACTTCATATGCCGGTCAATATATAGTGCTAAATTGGGCGGAACCCGCAAGAAAAACGAGCAAAAGGAAGCTAACAAGTATGGGAGACGAATTGCTAAAGGAAAGAATGAAAAATGGTGCTGAGAAATTTGACCACTCTTCAATGTTTTGATTATATATCAAGATCTGGAGCTCCGATTGACATAAAGAAAGAAGTTTCGGAAACTAGACAAAATTTCGTACAACTTTCGTGTTTTGCGTTTTTGCTAATTCTACCGTTTTCATCACCAAAAAGGGGCAACAAAGATGAGGGACGTCCTAGAACGCGTCTAAGACGCCCCCTAGGACGCCTACCCGTTTTAGGCCATTTTCAAGTGCAAATCAACGACGGCAGAAGGCATGTAAAATGCCATGAAGGACGCCCAGACGTCCTATATGACGTCTAAGACGCCCACTATGATGCCGACGCGGAAAACAGCTCCGAAAATCTGTTTTTCAAAACCTATTTAAAGGAGATTTAACCCTAATCGAAATAGGACTTCTCCCCTGTGATTTTACACAATTTTGGAGTGTTCCAAACACATTCAAACCTTCTCCAAACGCGTTTTTGATCATCAATTTCCGAATCCAAGGCTACAAATCACCAAGTTCATCATCATTCAACAATTGAAGTCGTTCAACCGGTGGATCTTCATCAAACTCCATATTTGATTTTTTCTCTCCAAGGTTTCATCTTTCCATGACTGATTGATCATTAGACTTTATTAGTTTTATGATTTCAAGTTTGGTTATGAATTTTAGTATGAATTCCATTGTTTTTATTCAATTTGTGTGCTTTTTTTTATTGTTATGGAAGACTAAACCACCTAGGTTACTTCCGGGAACGCTGTAGGATGTTAGGATGAACACGATTTGATTATTACTTTTATTCCAATCAATTTCAATCATTGTTCTATTCTTCAATTTTTTACGTTTTATTTGCAATAATTGGAGTTGGTTTTTCTTATTGTGTGATATTGCAACTAAGATAGTGTATTGTTAAATTCACTAATCATTCCGAATTCAAGTAGTTTAGGAATTAAGATGGCTAGTAGAATCCACATACATTATTCCGAACTTGTAGTATTAAATGCTTAACATTGTAATATGTAATCGTAAGACACATTATCGCCAAACCACTGGTTGTTCCTAATCCAATTAGACATAGGGAGTAAGACAATTAGTTGGATCAACATTTTGTGTGCCCATAATTATATATTGAATGTGAGTCAACCTTAATTATGTCTAGGTAATTAAACTGGAATTTAAGGGAAGAAAACATGTTTGTCCAACCATCTGAACAACTGAACCGGAAGTACCTTGATTTCTCATTCATAGTATTTGTTTTAACAACCTTTTGCAACATAAAGTTTCCAGTTGTTTAGTTTATTTTAGTTTAATTTGAATTTATGAAAATTGCAAGCATTAGTTTTTCCATTTGACTATTTTAACACAAGGTTTAACCACAAACTCCTCGTGGATTCGGCCCTTACTTTCCCTAGTTATCTAGTGGTTTTTGAGGTTATTTTTGATTGAGACAAGACCTCGATCAATTGTCATTTTTTTAAAGAATAGATTCCTCCTTGTTTCTAGTGCATGCACATCAATTAACTCCTTTTACTTTTAAACTTTTGTCCCACTGAGAATGACTGTAAATGTACTGACCCAAGCCTGCACCTTTTTTCTTTTCCCAAATTTTTTATAAGAGCTATTCTTTCTCTGTCTTGGTCTGATCCTTCATCCAATGATTCGAACTCCTCATTGTTGATCACTTCCATATCTTCAGGTTCATGTCCATCATTAATACATGCTCCTTCAACATCACTTTCAACATTTAGACAGAAGTCTGCCATGTCCACATCAACATCTTCTATATTGTTCTCATCATCCATTATGTCATCCACTTTATCTTCATTTTCTGATTGTTTCCCATCCTGATCATCACCTTCATCCTTTTCATACTCTTCATCACTCTCTTCAGATTAATCATCCCCTTCATACTCTTCAACATCCTCATCACTTCCAAGTAAATTTTCCATAAGGTTATCAAAAAGCTCATTATATTGTTCATCATCATTAACAGGTGGGGTGTTGTAGCATCCTTCAATATGTTCATTATTCTGAACCCTAATTATCTCATCCCCTACATTAGCAATATTTGAAGTAAATGGCTTGTAGCATCCTTCAACAACAGTTGCAGCCTCCTGAACCTCCTTAACACCCTAATTAGTGTTTTCCTTCTCTTTTAAATCATCAATATCCTCTAAATTAAGCCTCTTGCTACAAGAACCTTCCCCTCTTTTTGAATTCCCAACTCTACCCCTTCTATACTCTGGTGAGAATGCATCACTTTTACTCCAAAAAAGAATCAAATACATGTACTCACCAATTGGCTCATCATTGACATGGTTCATATTTCTCAATGGATATTCTACATGAACTTCAGCCTCATATTCAGCCCCTTGATCATCATTTTCTGGTAATTCCTCAATGACAACTTTACCCTTTGCATTTGGAGACATGAAGTAAGTGAGTAGATTTGTCTTCCCATGTTCTGTGTACACCTCAATCAACTTTTTATTTTGAATAAATTTAGAAAGATTGATAACATCCTGATCATTCCCTAAAGCTCTAAGACCAAATTGAAAGTCACCATTGGGTATCCTGAAATGGTAGTATATCACTGGGGATTCATCAGTCAATTCAATTATCCGTGGGTCTGGGTAACCTAGGTTAAGCATTATGGCATCAAGTTCATGTACAAAAAACTCATTTATGTCCACATAATCAACATAACGCACTTCACCTCCAGTATACTTTATATCAGGTAACTTAGTAAACTTCCCACCATGATGAAGCTTAATACTAAACCATGTGGTGCACCCGCTACAAGTCAAAATTGTACATGATAACAAAGTCAAAATTTAGCGGATTTTAGTATAAATCAAGGGTAAAATGAAAAATAGGAATGTTTAAGAAAACAGAGCAACTTACCATATAAGGATGATACATCGACAACTTGATTTTTTGGTCTGATCTGCCACATTACGTACACCATTTCGACTTTAACGTATGACCTTGTCTCCTTTTGCTTCGATTAGGTTCTTTGGATAACGAATGATGTTTTTTTGCAGGTTTAATGGAGCAGAAGGAAGAAGGAGGGAGGTGGGGAGTTGACGGGTGTTTGCGATTGTAAATGAGGGATAAAAGGTAGAAGGACGCGCTGACATTCATATGCAAAAATGGTCCCTATAAGTAAAAAGACAGAAATACCCTCACGTGCAATGCACATGAGGGGGTTAACGGATTCTTTTTAACGGGTGTTAAGTACAGGGACCATTCTCACAAACAAACCAGTCAAAAAGGACCACAAAACCAAAAAACTCGTGGTTTGGACCAAAACCCCCAAAAAATGCATACCACAGGGACCATTTTTGCAATTTTGTCTTTTTTATTACGGGTCATTTAGTTTTGGGCAAATATGGTATTTTGATCATTTTGACACGTGGGTTATTGGTTTCTTGATTCTTGATTCTTTAAGTATCATTTTGTTCTTGTTTTTGTTTTTTTCTTAAGTGATGCTGATAGAAATATAATATAGCTTTTCTGAGATTAATTGATCCTTTAAGTTCTTCAAACCTAATCTTGCTTTTGTAATTGTGTAAATTTTAATTAACTTAACCTATTGTATATTTGTAACGCAAATTTTCAAATATTGTAAGCCATCTTGCTTTCATTCCTTTTTGTTTGTTCCTCCATGTCACAAAAAGGGATTAATGGACTCCCTCCATCCTATCATGTTTCCGTTAGTTTAGCTTAATTAGTTTCTTTTGTTTTTTCCTTTTCATATTCGATTTTACCGGTTTAGGTAAGACATGTACCCATACACAAATCTATATTTGATTAATAATGAAATCATGATAGTTTGTCCTGATTGTCTCTTTATTACAACGATTATGCTTTTTTATCTGGGTAATTGGATCATAACTCGGTATGATGATATGGATCTGATTATCTTTATCATAATTAATATGCACAAATAAAGTGATTTAATAAGTTTTTTGTTGGATTATCTAGGGTTTGCTTGAGTTTGGCATTTTGGTTTCATGTAAGGTTTTGATAAGAAGAAGCATGTCCATAGGCAAAAGTGTTAAAGGCAAGGTAGATGGATATTGCGGTAGTTTAACCTTGTCAAGAAGGTCTAACCCTTTTTAGTTTACAATGAACATTTTTATAATTTCAAATTACTATTCTTGCTAAGAGCATTAATCATCTCATCTAGAACTGCTAATTTCTACTTTTCGTGTTATCTGGGGCTTGTTTATTATTTCTAGGCACAATTAGAATGTATATCATGTAGACATGCTGCACTTTGTTTTAACTTGAGGATCCTTTTCATATTTGTGATTGTTTTCTCTTTTTTCTTACAACATGTTGTAAAATTCAAGTATTTGAAAAAGGCAGAATTTGTGTATATGTGTATGCTTGTCCCTTGGGTTCAACTCTTGCATCTTACGTAAAATTTGCATTTAAGTTGCAGGTGTAGTATGACTAGAGACCAGAGTCATGATGAGACTTGTGACAGCGGTGGTGTGGCACCTTGGTTAGAACTTAACCATGATTTGCTTTATTTAGTTTTGATGCGACTGGGAGTTGTTGATTTTGTTGCATTCAGTGGAGTTTGTAAGTCATGGAGGTCATTTGCACTCTCCAACTGGAATATGTTTATGGCATCCAAACCACCCTTGTCCATGAGTACATCTACTAATGTTAACGAGAGAGAAGAGCGTTACCTCTATCTAGAGGACTTTGATGGAAGAAAGTTCAAAACCATTCTTCCCCGTTTGGTTGGCCGGGATTTTGTTGGGTTAAGTTGTGGTTACTTGGCGTTTTATGGGTATGCAACGCATGACTTTTGGCTTGTGAATCCAATCACAAGGCATCAGCTTCATTTCCCTGATGTCCACTTTGAAGTCTATACTTATGACGAGTTAGCAATCAAGCTTATTCTTGTCTTTTCACCTTCAATACCTGGGTGGGTATTGGCTGTGGAAAATGGACTCGACCGTAAAATATGGACCTCAATAGCAGGTAAAGGAGCATGGAATCTTGTCTCCTCCCCTTTCCAGATTATTGATTTTCATGCTTTCAAGGGGAAGGTGTGTTGTGTTCCAGCCTCCAAAGCCTCCAAAGCTACAGTAGCCATCATTGTTGACAAAATGAAACCTACGGGACAAGTTTTTCTTCCCACCCTATGATGAACACAATTAATAGACGCAACTACAATGGTGGCTGCCAAGACTATAAATAGAGACTTCATTCTTCAGTTGTATGCATCCCAAAAACACAGAGAAACAGATAGTATAACACTTAGAGTGAGAGTGTTAGTGAGAGGGTTGGTTTTTTGTAATAGTTGAGTGTGAGAGTTGCTCCTCCTATTGTAATTCTATTTTCGTGTTTAATAGAAGAGTTTTCCAACCCCAACAACTGGTATCAGAGCCCCGTTTGGTGTCCAGGGAATTCTTTACGAATTTCTCTGTTTTTTCGTCAAATTTTTTTTGTCTCAAAATCCATTTTTGAGTACACCGTTGGAAAGGGCTTGTTTCAAGGATTCCGAAAATATATTTTTCGTAATTTTTTGACCACGGGAAGACCTCCAAAACGTCGGTCAAAGTTTGGTCAAAATCGCCGGAAAATATCGCCGGAAAGCCTCGCCGGAGAAGAAGGAGTGACGTCATCAGTGACGTCATCATTGACCAGAGTTTCAGATATTTTCAGTTTAGCCCCTGAAGTTTCCGAAAATTTCAAACAGGTCCCTCTGTTTCTAAAACACTGCAGTTCGGTCCCTGTTTGTTCCGAAAGTAACCTGTTTGCTCCCTAGACTTCAGAAAAGTTTCAGAAAGGTCCCTGGTTAGCAGAAACGTTTCAGATTAGTCCCTGTAAGCTGCGAAAATTACAGTTTAGTTCCTATAATTCCGAAAAGTTACAAATTAACACATAACTTTTCAAGAAAGTATATTTTGACCCCGAAAAACTCTACCCCACCATTTTTGACGCTTCCGAATCCAACCGAGAGCTCGGTTTTATCTAATTTTTCCTCGAAATATTTGTAAAATAAATTTGCAATTATTTTCAATGGAATCTACAAGTACGATTACGATGGTTCGACTTACGCCCACAAATTACAACATGTGGAAGCCAAGGATGGAAGATTTGCTTAATCTGAAAGATTTAGCAGAGCCTATAGAAAAGCAAGGCGTCAAACCCAACACAAAGACAGACGAAGTTTGGACGAGAATAAACAGGAAAACGGTGGCACAAATTCGACAGTGGATCGACCACAGTGTTTTTCATCATGTCTCTCAAGAGACAGACGCGTACAAACTTTGGGAGAAGCTCAAGAATATGTATCAGGCAAGGACGGCACGCAACAAGACCTTGCTGATGAGGCGCCTTGTAAACCACAAGTTACGAAGTGGTACGTCCATAACCGAGCATACGAGTCAGTTCCAGGATCTCGTAAACCAGCTCGGTGCTGCTGATTGGGTTCTCAAACACGAGGAACAAGCCATATTGCTCTTGAGTTCTCTACCAGATAATTGGGAGACGCTTGTTGTGACTCTCAGCAATTCTGCCCCCGGTGGTAAAGTGCAATGGAGATGGTCACAGATGCCCTAATGAACGAGGAAGCCAGAAGGAAAGAAGCTGGTACAGACCAGTCTTTTGCCCTCGTGTCAGAAAACAAAGAAAGAGGCGGAGACAGAACTGGAGGCCGAGGTCAAGGTAGAGGCAGAGGTAGACATGGTCAAAGTAGAGGAAGATCCCAAGATCGTGGGAAATCACGAGATCGAGGGAAATCGCGAGAGCGAGGTAAATCTTCAAATACATGGTTCGAAGGCTATTGCAATCATTGTAATTATTATGGCCACAAAAGGAGTGATTGCCGAATGTTCTTACGAGAGCAGCCCGAGACAAGCCAGAATCCAAGCAGGGAGAATGGTGAAACCATGGTCACCATAACACAAGACGTTGCCCTTGTTACATACGAGGAGGAAGCATGCCTACATGTTGAAACTCATGATGATGAGTGGGTGATTGATAGCGCTGCATCATATCATTCGACTCCAAACCGGGATTTATTCAGTACTTATAAACCCGGAGACCATGGTACCGTGAAGATGGGAAACACCAGTTTCTCAAGCATTGCTGGTATTGGTGATGTGCATTTAAAGACCAATGTTGGATGTACATTGGTGTTGAAAGATGTTCGGTATGTCCCAGAGCTGAGAATGAATCTTATCTCAGTTGGAGCTCTTGACATCCAAGGATATGATAATCAATTCAAAAATGGCACCTGGAAGTTGTTGAAAGGTGTTATGGTTGTTGCAAGAGGAAAACTTGATGGTACTCTTTATAAAAGTCATGCAAAGTTGCTTCAACCAAGTCTCAATGTTGTTAAAGAAGAGACATCACCAAACTTGTGGCATAGAAGACTAGGCCACATGAGCGAGAAGGGATTGACGACTCTTGCAAAGAAGGAGTCCATTTCAATGGCAAAAGATGTTGCCTTGGATCCTTGTAAATACTGCCTATTCGGGAAACAACACAGAGTTTCCTTTAGCTCCACAAGAAAGAATCGCTCTGAGTTGCTGAGCCTTGTCCACTCCGACGTATGTGGACCCATTGAAGTAGAATCTCTTGGTGGAAGTCGGTATTTTGTGACATTCATTGACGATGCGTCACGAAAGGTATGGGCATACTGTTTGAGAACGAAGGACCAAGTATTGGACCGCTTCAAAGCTTTTCATGCAATGGTGGAAAGACAAACAGGCAAGAAGCTAAAATGTCTCCGATCAGATAATGGAGGCGAATACTATTCCCGTGAGTTCTCTAAATACTGCACGGAACATGGTATCAGACATGAAAAGACTGTCCCACGAACCCCACAACACAATGGTGTAGCAGAACGGATGAATCGCACCATTGTTGAGAAAGTTCGATGCATGCTCAGCATGACTAAACTCCCAAAGCCATTCTGGGGTGAAGCTGTATTGACATCTTGCTATCTAATAAATAGGTCACCTTCCGCTCCATTGAATTTTGAAGTTCCGGAGAAGATATGGACGGGTAAAGACATATCATATTCTCACTTGAGAGTATTTGGGTGCAAGGCGTTTGCACATGTATCAAGTGAACTGCGGAAGAAGTTGGACCTCAAATCCACTCCATGCATCTTTATTGAATATGGAGATGAAGAGTTCGGGTACAGGCTATGGGACCCAGAACTAAAGAAGTTTAATCGAAGTAGAGATGTGGTTTTCTATGAAAACCAGTATTATGATTTCAAGGCACCGGTTAACAAGCAACAAAGCTCCAAAGTTTCAGATATAATATCTGAAAATAAAGAAGATGTTTCCGCTGAAGAAGTGGATGAAGAAGTCGATGATGCATATCAAGAAGGTGTTGATGAGGGGGAGCTTCCACCCCTGGATAATTCAGATCCACTGCCAGAAGTTGCAAACGAAGGAACTCAAGTTAGACGATCTGAACGAGTACGTGCTCCATCAACAAGATATCCGACTTCAAACTACATCCTTCTTACTAGTGAGGGGGAGCCAGAGAGTTTTCAAGAAGCTCAATCTCATATTGACAAAGCAAATTGGCAGAAGGCCATGGAAGAAGAAATGAATTCTTTGTAGAAGAATCAAACATATGAGTTGGTAAACCTCCCCAAAGGAAAGAAAGCCTTGAAGAACAAGTGGGTTTTCAAGTTGAAGAAAGACGGCAAGGGAAATACTATGAAGTATAAGGCGAGACTCGTTGTCAAAGGTTTCCAACAAAAAGAAGGAATCGACTTTGATGAAATTTTTTCGCCAGTTGTGAAGATGATGTCTATTCGAGTTGTACTCGGATTAGTTGCCAGTCTAGATCTTGAACTTGAGCAGATGGATGTGAAAACAGCCTTTCTCCATGGTGATTTGGATGAAGAAATATACATGGAGCAACCTGATGGCTTTAAAGTCCCAAAGAAAGAGCATCTCGTCTGTAAATTAAAGAAGAGCCTTTATGGTCTTAAGCAAGCCCCAAGGCAGTGGTACAAGAAGTTTGATTCATTTATGATGAATCATGAGTACAATAGAACTGTTGCAGACCATTGTGTCTATCTGAAGAAGTTTCCAGATGGGAAATTTGTCATCCTTTTGCTCTACGTGGATGATATGTTGATAGTGGGCCAAGATGCAATGATGATCAACAACTTGAAGAAGGATTTGTCTAAGTTCTTTGATATGAAAGACTTAGGCCAAGCACAACAGATATTGGGCATGAAAATTATCCGTGATAGAAAATCAAGAAAATTGTTCTTATCACAGGAAGAGTATGTTGAACGTGTGATCAAAAGGTTCAACATGGAAAATGCCAAGCCCGTTGGTACGCCCTTGGCTAACCACTTCAAGTTGAGTAAGAAAAATTGTCCATCTTCTGAGAAAGAAAAAGAAGAGATGAAGGCAGTCCCCTATTCCTCAGCCGTAGGAAGTCTTATGTATGCAATGGTGTGTACAAGACCAGATATTGCTCATGTTGTCGGTGTTGTGAGTAGATATCTAGCTAATCCGGGAAAACAACATTGGGAAGCAGTCAAATGGATACTTCGATACCTGAAGGGTAGTTCGAAACTATGTTTATGCTACGGGGGAGCAAAGCCAATCGTGGAAGGTTATACATATGCCGATATGGCAGGAGATCTTGATAGTAGGAAATCTACATCAAGTTACATTTTTACTTTGGCAGGGGGAGCTATCTCGTGGCAATCCAAGTTACAGAAGTGTGTCGCACTGTCAACAACAGAAGCCGAGTATATTGCTGCCGTTGAAGCTGGGAAGGAGCTTATATGGATGAAACGGTTTCTTCAAGAATTAGGCTTTCCACAATAAGAGTACATCATTCATTGCGATAGTCAGAGTGCTATGGACCTGAGTAAGAACTCGATGTACCATTCCCGTACAAAACATATTGATATACGTTATCACTGGCTTAGAGAAGCAATTGAGGGACGAGAATTGAAGTTGTTAAAAATCAACACCAATAACAATCCTGCAGACATGTTGACAAAGGTGGTGACACAAGAGAAACACAGACTATGTGCTGACATAGTTGGGATGAGGATTGTTGGACGGAGACTGGAGGGGGAGATTTGTTGTGTTCCAGCCTCCAAAGCCTCCAAAGCTACAGTAGCCATCATTGTTGATAAAATGAAACCTACGGGACAAGTTTTTCTTCCCACCCTATGATGAACACAATTAATAGACGCAACTACAATGGTGGCTGCCAAGACTATAAATAGAGACTTCATTCTTCAGTTGTATGCATCCCAAAAACATAGAGAAACAGATTATATAACACTTAGAGTGAGAGTGTTAGTGAGAGGGTTGGTTTTTTGTAATAGTTGAGTGTGAGAGTTGCTCCTCCTATTGTAATTCTATTTTCGTGTTTAATAGAAGAGTTTTCCAACCCCAACAAGGTGTATACCCTAAACTATAGTGAAAAATCAATAGCTAAATTTCCATTAAGCGAAATGAGACTCGATGATCCACATCCCAAATTAACGTTACTTGAAACCAAGAATTTTCCAGACTCAAATGATCTGCCGCCGTTGCTTGTAAGTTCGGGTGAAAACCTTTATATGATGCACTATATTTTTGAAGATTGTTACGATTTTTACCAACTAGATTTTGGTGAAATGAAATGGGTGTCCCTTGAAAAGACAAGAGAAGAGTATGTATTCTTTTCTAGCTCCAGGCGTATGTGGCAAACATGTGCTTTTAAACCAGAGTCTTGGACTGGCCCTTGGTTAAAGCACGAGAGATATGGTGGCACTAAGAACATTACAAAAGACGGGTTCTATATTGCAGACATGTGGTACTTACCCCATAAATGTTTGAATGTTAATCTCATACACATGTGATAATTTATTAGCACTCGTCTCCTCTCTTTGTTTCTATCTTTGCATATGTTGGAACATTTTCAAGATAATGAGAAGAAGCACCATTACAGATTGGGATTTTTAACCTCCCTTTTATTTGATGAAGGCCTTTTTGTTTTTGTTTGTCAGTATATGTAAATTGAAAATGTTATCAAGTGAATGGTGTCGCAAACAGGCATAGTGACTATGGAATCGGTGCTTTTGCCATTATTGATTTTAGTTCTACCTAATGACCTGTCATTATTGTTTGTATGTAGGTTCTTTTAATTGCTTACCTAATACTATATTTTTTTCTAACAAACCATGATTTTGTTAAAACATTAAAAAATCAAAAGAATGGGACATTAATGATAGGATAAGATTTTTATGGCACTAATGAAACTTTGTATCATCTTTTTTTTCAATTGTATGTTTGCATGATGGCCAAATATTATTTATCACTACAAGAAAATTTCGATTTAACTACGGAAAAATTCCGTAGAAAAATGATGTAATTCTGTAGCTAAGCCTAAATAACTACGGAAGTTGCTACAGAATTTGCCAATGAGATTCCATAGTAAGATTTCTTGTAGCAAAATGTTTACCTAACGGTCGACCTTAGTCTCGCTCCTCAGCTTGGCCGTTGCTACGACGTCTATCCGTAGCATTTCAACTACAACACACTTCCATCACAATTCCGTAACAATGAATTCTGTAGCAAATTCCGTATCTATTTTGTTCCGTAGCAAATTCTGTAGTCATTTGGTCCGTAGCAAATTTCGTAGCCATTTGGTCCATAGCAAATTCTGTAGCTAATTGTTCCGTAGCAAATTCCGTAGCCATTTGGTCCATAGCAAATTCCGTAACTAATTGTTCCGTAGCAAATTCCGTAGCCATTCGTTCCGTAACAAATTCCGTAGCCCTTCATTCCGTAGCAAATTTCGTAACAACTTTTTTGTAGTCAATTCCGTAACAATCGTTCTATACCATTTTTTCTATAAAATTCGGTTATTTAATTTGACTTATTATATCAATTTACAAAAATACAATTAATATAAAACCAAAAATAACCAACTATCGAACAATCCAAGATAGATATATCTGCAAACCAAAAACTTGTGACAATAAATAACGTCACCCCTCTACAATATTTTTAGTTAATAAGTATAAGATAAGAGTTTTTTTATATATACTTTTTCGAAAAAATAACAAATCTACAACTTTTTTCAAAATTTAAACAGCAAAAAATTAATTCTATCAAATCATCATTAATTTCACAGATCCAACTCGCTAAATGACAAAACCCACTTTTTTCCGAAGAAATTGGCCCATTCGAGCTTCCCAACGACCACATTTGTGTAGGGTAACACTTCTATACTTTGAGCTTCCTCTTGAGAATCCAGTGCTTTGACGACGAAGTATATGCACAAACTCTTCCTTGGTCAAGTTTTTTATTTGTGTAACATAAGATATACATAAATTATCAGAATATTCATTGGGATTTTCAACTAATTATAAGAAACAAATTTTAGATTATACATCAAATTTAGTTAAATTAACCTGATTCAAGTCGTCCTCGTAATCGCTTATATTGAAATTAATATCAGCATCAACACCACGAAATTTTATAGCAGCCCGATCATATGCCCTATAGAAAAATATCAGGTTTATAAAATTTGACATGATTAAATGATGAAACTAATGTCAGAAAACTGAAAAAGTGTAGAAGATATTTACCTAGCAGCAGCATGTGCAATATCAAATCCACCTACAAAAATAATTAAGAATATATATATAGAATTTAAATAAATATAATTAAACAGATTCATATACATATTGAAATAGAATGGAATTTCAATGCTACGTATAATTTCTTAAATACCGAAGTAAACTTGTTTCCCACAATCCCTGCAGAAATCATAGAAATAGAATGAGGTTTTGCCTATTTTCCCACCTCTTGTTCAGCTTCCATTGGACAAGTTTCAGACAGCACTGGCCCACATACTGCAGGTTTCAATTTTTTTGTGGTTCCACATTAAGTATAACTGAAGATGAAGTAGTATAATAATAATAGAATAGAAAATAGTTTTACCTAAAAATTTTGTTGTTGGTGTGAGCAGGGTTCAGCTCATATGGGGCCCGCACTGACACCAGCAGAAGTATTGGTGGCAATCCATGACATTAGCCTTGAGAAGGATGGTGTTCCACTAAAAAAGGCATGCTCTGCTCATCCATGACATTAGCCTTGAGAAGGATGGTGTTCCACTAAAAAAGGCATGCTCTGCTCATCCATGAGCCATTTTTCAAACTTTTTGCAGATAATGGATGCTTGTTCAGCTTGTTTTGAGCAGCGAACTGTTTTCACACAGCAAGTCCTAGCAAAAGCATTGAACCAAATGGTGTACTAATAATTATCCCAAAATAAGAAGTAAAAAATCACATGTATCCTCACAAATTACAGAAATGGACTATAGTTAGGAACGGTGAATGCAGTACAAAAATAGCTACAAGTCCAAGAGACATTGATTTGACGATTAAACATGGTAAAAGATCTCAGAAGACTATAATCAATATGACTCAATCGATTGATTAAACATGGTAAAAGATCTCAAGCGTGAAATCACTAAATTGGCAAACAATATGACTCAATCGATTGATTTTCTCCACTACCACATAAAAGTTAAGAACTGTTCAATCAATTTGTATTGCAAGTAGATAATCGATTGCAAAACAAATAAA